ACTTTGATATCCTTTCACACTGTGAGAGAATATCATTTTGGTATCCTTTCACACTGTGAGAGAATATCACTTTTATTCAATAAATAAATCACAGTATTTCACTGTTGAAAATGTAATAAACTAGGATATTTGCAGAATTAATTTAATGAGTTGTGCTAAACATGACTACCAACCTAGAGTACTAGATTAGAGTATTAACACAGCAGTACGTAACGGTAGAAATATATCTCTTTCTCTATTTTCATAAGAAATTCTATGAGAATGCAACTTTTTATTGAGTGAAATGCCCAAGAAAAAAGTGAAAAGTAAATAATACCTCATTAACGAGGTCCAGCCTACTTGGTCTGCGCATACAGTGTAGGTTTCACCCAGCGTTGTTTCAGACGCGTCACGGTACCCTTGATCGCCGTAACAATTGCATAAAATAACGTTACAGTAAAAATTAAGTCAAATTGCGCTAAAATAATTCGCTATTCTTGTATACCTGGTGCATGTAGAAAGCTCACTAATTCTGGCATTTCTATCAATTCTTATGTTTCCATAAATACACGTTTTAATTAATTTGCAATTATTATTATTTTTTTATTATTAATATACAATACAACAATCATTTGTTGATATTAAATGAAATTAAATTGGACTTATAAAGTACCTTAGATAAAATTTCAAGTTTTATTTTTGTGTTTTTATATGCCTCTTTTCACTATAATAAAGGCTACCCCAAATTTTTAATTTTAGCTCAAGTGGGCTTTTCTGATCAAAGAGTGTCCGGCGTCCGTCTGCCGTCCATCGTCTGCGTCTGTAAACTTTTCACTTTTTGACTTCTCCTCAGATCAAGAATCACTGGGCCAATTTCAACCAAACTTGCCACAAAACATCCTTGGATGAATGGGATTCAAGTTTGTTCACAGGAAGTGCCGTGCACTCTTTCAAGGGGAAATAATTAAGAATTAGTGAAAATTTGGTGGCATCTTTTAAAAATCTTCTTTTCAAGAACAACTGGGTTAGAAAATATAAAACTTATGTGAAAGCTTTATTATATATTTCAGATTCCAATTTGTCATATCATAACCCCGGGGGTATGTAGGTAGGTGCCACAAGAGGTGTCCAACGTCTTACACAGAAATAATATAAGAAATGTCTTTAAATTTTTGTTCTCGAGAATAGCAAAGCCATGATTAGTTATATTATTACAGAAGTATATCCTCAGATATTGTAGATTCAAGTTTGTTCAAATCATGACCCCTGGGGGTAGTGCCGAGTCACAAAAGCGGGTCAAGGTTTACATAGGTGTGATGGTTAAGGGGCATTTGAGTAAAACGTATTGAAACTTCAAATAGTGGGAGTACCTGGCAACCCTTGGAATAGACTTGTCTAAGGGTATATAAGGCAAAGCTTTGGGAAACTCAGGTATTCAGAAGGTAGCTGTAGAAGTTGGATGATGAATCAGCAATAAAGAAGTTAAGGTATTCCATCCTAACAAAAGAGTCAATGAAATTGAATACATAACAGATGGTAGATGTTATATACTCAGTATATTTAGACATAATTCCCATTTATTACTTTGTGGATGTAAGAGTGAGATGTGTCCTAATTTATGACCACGAATTTTGGTAAGAGTTATCTCCCTCTGTTTTGAATTAATAACAAAATCAATATTAAGAAACTTATCTAGTAAAATCGTTTTTAATTGTCATTCTATTTCTAATGTGTTTTAGAGAATTTTTCAACTACAGTATTTATTGATATTCTTATTATTTGAATTTTTATTTTCAAAAAAAATGCTCCATAGACTTCAGGGCAATCTTTGTTGAGTACTTAGTGCTTAGTTAATTACATTTTTGATAATTTCTCTTGGTAAATCCTTTTCTACTGCAAAATGCTTTAAATTAATATCAGAGTATTATGTATGTGATAGACATTTAAGGATAGAGGATGAAAAATCTTAAGGGTAAGAGCAAAATAAAAGTATAAAAGTTATAAACACCAGTGGCAAGTGTCCTGGGGGAATTGTTGTTAAGCTCTGGGTGTAGTAAATCTGAAGAAGATTGAAACAACTGGCTCTTATCTATCAATGGGAACCTAGGGGAGAAACACGGTGAAAGTAGTACCTTACCCAGTCCCCATCACTAGATAAGACAAAATTTAAATACTGTGTAATATACACTCAGACAGAGCTGTCTTAATAATCATTCTAATCATTAATTCAGAGAAAAAGGAAAACCTATATATCCCTTGTAAGAACCTGATCTTACCATTACATAAGAAATATCTTTGAAATCTTCTCCTCTAGAACAACTAAGCTACTGTTAGTCATATTAATACAGAAGTAACCTGTATACTTGCATGGTAAGAAAGCTTCTTTTGTCTTCATGAACTTTATAGAAATTATCATATTCTTCTGCAAAGGAATTTGCGAGAAATACAGCCGTTCTTTGCTCGAGTAAGACTGAGTCAACCATTTTTTGTCATAAGTCACCTATATATTGACGTCATTTTCACATTGTGACATCACAAGCACGGAGCAAAACATTATATAACATCTGCTATTTATAGAACATGTGTGCCGGAGCAAAACATTATATAACATCTGCTATTTATAGAACATATGTTTGACTATATGTGTGCCAAATTTCATTCTGATCTGAATTGTGCTTTTGTAAATATAGAGATAGTTCACGAACTTATTAATCACCCCTCGTAAATTTAAGTTTGTCCCCCCCTTAAAACTTTTCAATCTGCTTCTCCTTAGCCAGTGTGCTCAGATGAGCAGCTGGGCCTCTTGTTTAAATGAGGAATGGATATTACAAGATATGTGTGAAAAGCAAAACATTTCACAATTTAGTTTTTTTTCAATTTGACAACTCCATTGTTTTGAGGTGTTTTAGCATAAAATTATCTGTAAAACCCTTTTCCATATTTTGAAAATGGCCCCATTCCACTACAATCAACTCAAGGTAACAAATTTCATACAAATTTAAATCTAAAATTCAATATTTTAGATATTTGTCGGTCCGTTTTCGTTATTTCCAACTAGATTGGGCCTCGTTAAACCAAATTGAAATGCAATGGGCCCATTTCCCTTCTGACAACAAAATATCATTCCAATTGCACTTGAAATTTCGAAATGTGTGGAATAAAAGGATAAAATCAAATCAGCAATATCTGCTATTCTAAACTACGAATGTCATAGAATATTCGAGTATACTCTATTTTTGCTCGTTTATACCGCCTATCGACTCAATATTTAAAGTCAGTTACTCATTCAAAATAAGCTATTTAATAGTTATGAAATTCTAAATTCAAGTCAATATAATGAATGATTTTTTTTCTTCAACTGGTTTGTTGGTATCAAAATTTAAACACTCCTCTAAGTGAATTTAGATGTAGTTTTTTACAAAAAAGAACGAGGGCGCTATTGATTGGCATTCAGCAGGAATCTGGGCGCACTTGAAAAATGAAAATTTCATTGACCTGTTACATGAAATTTTAGAATTCTTTTGATGTATCGGGCTCCTGTGAAATAGGAAAGGGTAATATTTTCCCGATATTTTATTTTGATTTGCTAAAAAAGAATTTGAAAATTGGCTAGATGAGTCATTTGATACAAAATGTTACATTTTCAAACACGTTTTTCTAAAAATTTGCTACCTCTGGGTCATCTCTCCATGATTTTGAAACGTTATTTGTATGCATTTTAATGCAAAGAAACTAACAAACATTTGTAAAACATGGAGAGAAGACCCAGAGACGATAAAAAATGAACTTTTTCCAAAAAAATTCTGATGTGTAAATGCGGTGCTTCATTGTCGCTTTAAAAACCATTAAGTATGTGTAGCGGTGATAGCTCAGTAGTATGCGTTATCCGTCCAGTGCAATGAAAAAGAAATATTTTTGGTTCGATCCTCGCATGGAGCGTTAATATTTTTTTTTTTAGTACAAACAATCAATTCGTTTGTTTGTTTAATTTTATGTACTGATTTATTTTTAAATAGATACATTCTGGTTCTGTTGCACCGAAAGCGAAAGCAATTCTTCCAACCTACTGATACTTAGTTATATACATGTAGTTACATTCGTTACTAAGTTTTACATGTAGTAATCATTAAGATAAGTGGACTGATATATTAATTTGACAAAGTATTTCAAGCTAAATAAAACATTTTTCCATGTGCGTAACTTTGTAGAGTATGTCCAGCTGTGGTCAGTCGACCAAATCGTAGACATTTAAACTATAAATGTTTCGTACGCTTTATTCCTGCAGATCATTCGCCAAACACGCCCATCTTCTTTACATACTTAAGTATCATTTAATTTTAAAAGATAGATGTGTGCGTATATTGGTATATATTTTTCTTTTTAATGCCATATATTTCAACTGATTTTATAATCGGCTATTGTTTGTACAGAACTGTTTTTATATGTCTTGATAATAAGTACACTTTGACTGTTTACCAGTCATGGGTTAAAACTTTCGATTGAATTAGAAATGCTCAAATGGATTCAAGTGAACGATTCATTACATGTATTAACGTCTGGAAAAAAATGGGAAGCCATAGGATATGACGAAGTGTATTAACTAAAGATAAATTATGCGGTAAAAAATAATTTTGACTACTAAGTAGATACTTATGCTAAAAAAAAGTTGTATATAAATATTGACATCCCTTTTTCTAAACACTTGATGTATAAAAATACATATTAGATTTACGGTATATATATATATATATATATATATATATATATATATATATATATATATATATATATATATATATATATATATATATATATATATATATATATATTAGAGAATGCTCAAGTGGTCTATTCAGATAGTAGTAGAAAACATGGATGCTTTAATATACAATTGTGATCAAGTATACTAATAATATATTATTTCCTTAAGTTCATCAGTTTTTATTTTTATATCAGTTAAACGATGCCCATGGCCCAAGAGTGTTAAAAACGGCTATTTCATATGTCATCCTAGTAACGAAATGATTTATGGAACGACATGTCGATATGGATGCTACAAAGGCTATCAACTTATGGGAAATATTCACGAACTACAATGCACAATAGAGGAAGCTTGGTCTTCTATGTCCCCTGAATGTAAAAGTATGTGTTTGAAAAAGACATGTTTATTTTCTCATTTATAAATCATTAATTGATTGATTTTTTTTTCTCTCAGTTATAAGCTGATAAATATTGTTACCTTTCAGCCAGTTCGGAAGCTTTATAACGATAAAACTGAAAATGACAAAGGGCTTTTTTGCAAAAAAGTGGAATATATTCTGTTTCATACATCATAATCATTACTATAGATCGAATCAGACTCTTCATGGCCATATATATATATATATATATATATATATATATATATATATATATATATATATATATATATATATATATATATATCAGGTTAAAATAAGTAATTATTTAATTGGCGAGGCACATTTTTCCACCTTTTTAATACATTGCATGCTGCAGAAAATAAGATTCGATTAAAAAAATATTTGTACTTTTCAGAGATTACATGTCCAGCCTTACCTCCAACTGAGGGTATGTTACACAGAACCTGTACGGACAGTAACAGGTTTGGGAGTGTTTGTACCTACACATGTCCAACAGGTTATGATATTCCATTGTATATGAACAGGGTTCGTGTCTGTGGGGCAGACAGGTATTGGCGAGGAGAGGAACCTGTATGTAAAGGTAAAAGCAGTGGATAATTATGCTTTAAGAATGAATTTTGTCATTGATTTCCCTATTTTAAATTTTCTGCGTAATAATTAAAAAATAAAATATGCTTATAAAATATGAACTAACTATCCTCTACAGCTTTTCGATGCATATAATACAACTTAATTTAGCATGATTTCTTTTAAATTTATTTAGATATTGAACCTCCTAAATTCCAAAATTGCTCAAAGATGGTAGAAGGATATGCTGATAGAAATTCCACGAAAGGAACCATTTTCTGGAGAGAACCAATAGCTACTGATAATTCCCACGAAGTGTTCATTCATAGTAACAGTTCCATCTCTCCCGGAAGTATAGTTGAAGCAGGCGTTTACCATGTGGTATATATGGCCAATGACACCGAAGGAAATAATGCTGTTCCTTGTAAAATCAAGCTTATTATGAAAAGTAGGTTTTTGTCTGTAAGAAAGTTATGTATATTGAAAATAGATTTATTCAAATATTTAGTATTCTTTTTAATATCATAACTTGCCTATTTCACAGTTCTAAAATGTCCCAAAATTTTCGAAAAACCACACCAAAAAGTTATTTGTGAATCTGGAACTAAGTATGGGAGTATATGCAGATTTGAATGTGATTATGGCGCTGTTCTTAATGGAACCAAAGCTGTAAGTTGTGAAAAGTCACCAACTGGTAACTTTGCCATGTGGTCGTGGGGTTCAAGCCATTTGCCATTTTGTAATGGTATGAACATATTTGTTTTAATTTCTCTCTATGGTATACATTTACATGTACTTGTCTTTCAAAGTTGGTACATATAATGTCTGGAAGTTGATAAATTCAAGAAAGCAAAATCTAATGTTATTGGGTTTTTTTCTTCAGTACTTATTACGTGCCCAGAAATCACAAAAATTCCCAAAAACGGTGCTCTTGCATGCGACAATTGGCTTGGTGGACAGTTTTGTCGGATGTTTTGTAAAGCTGGATTTGATGTTCAATCAAGTTTTCGCCTAGAAGAAATGTTGGTTTGTGGAATGTCTTCAGATAAAATGAAAAAAGGGAAATGGCTGCCCTCGGGGTCACTTCCATTACCAGACTGTGCAAGTAATAATAAATAATGTTCGTGTATCACAACGCCGCCATTTTTGTTTTTTCAAATATTTTTAAATACACTTAATGTAAAATGCCACGTAACGTATTTCAGAGACACATAATCCAACTGGTGGAAGTCTTGGAATCCATGCAAATTTTTATTTCAATGGAGATTGTACTAATGAATCCGTAATTGCAGAGATTAGAAAGAAGTTTATTGAAGCTTTAAAGGATTCTCTCTATCAGGATGCATGTTTGATCAATGCAAAAGACTGCACTATTCAAAACGTCAAGGTATTTTATTTATGGATAATATGAAATATTGAAAAAATATACAGTATATGGAAATACAATTTTAATAGGTTTTCCTTTCTGTTCTTGAATTTTACTAGGTTCGATGTGGATTAACAGAACGAAAAAGGTCATCTGATGTTGGAATAGACTTAGAGGTTATTGCAGAATTTGATTTCCAGAACTTTGAAGAGACATTCACAAATTTCAGCCAAAGCTCATCGACAGACATAATGAAAAAATTAGAGTCAATGAAAAGAGAGGGATATTTAAATTTAACACTTCAAAATGGAGGTGTAATGGTACCCGAAGATTTCTCTACCAAAGAAATTACTTTGGCTTGTTCCAATAACACAGTTCCGTCTTTCAGAACGCTTTCATGTGGTAAGCAAAAACAGTTAAAGAGGCTAGGGGGTTGTGGCCATTTTTAGACTATATTGATCTCCTTTAGAAGAAGAGCTCAATATGAAGATATAGAAAATGATCAAATTTTAAAACTAAACTTTTTGAAATTTTTCTTTGCCAAATGATAGTTGACAGCTTAAGATATCATATCTAAAAAATTAAGTTAAATCTGGTGGTTAATTTGTGGTAAATTTGTTGACCCCCAGCCTCCTTAAGGAAAAGATCATTTAAACTGAAAACACATCAAACATGTAATGCGTTTATTATTCAACTTAATTGAATAAAAGAAGAGGATGTTAACGTTGGACCATGCAAATCTGGCATAAATAAAGTGCATTGTTCTGGCAAATATAAGATTACGATTGAAATACTACACTTTAACAGCCATTTTTTTCAATTTCATTGAATACTTTTGTCAATGAATTAATAATGTTTATAATGATTGAAGCATCTTTTCTATAGTTGAATGCGCACCAGGTACTTTTTATGACATTGAGACTAGGAAGTGTCCCCTCTGTCCAAAGGGTCAATATCAACCAAACACTGGACAGACCTCATGCATAGAATGTCCAAAATCTCAAACAACGCGAAATAAAGGAGCACAAAATTTGGATCAATGCACAGGTACATGATTTACTAATATAATTTAATGTTTTAGGTTTTAAAGTTTTGTTTTGATTTGGCCTTCATATAGATGTATATAGTGTAAATCAAAATTATCAAAATCTTCAGACTTCCCCTGTTTCTTATTTTGTTTTGGCTCTCTTTTGATCACCATATTTTTAAGTTATTTTTTGTGTCGCCTGCAAAGCAGATCACTTTACCCGGCGTCTTTCTGTTTGTCTGTCCGTCTGTCAAACCCCATATCTCGAGAACTTAAAAGAGGCATGGATTTGATATTTTGCACATATATTGCTTGGCACTATGGCTTTTGTGGATTTGCTTAGCATATTTAGAATTTGCACTGTTTGTCATAAGACATTATAAAAAATACCAGCATTAAAATCCACTTGACCTTGACGTTTGACTTACTTTGCAAGAAATACCCTGGGCAGTTTAATTTAACTTATGACTTTTGAATTTTGAGAGGCAGTGTTTTGATAATTAGAATCTACACATGTTTATGAGCTCAGTATTTTGATAATTAGAATTTATACATGTTTATGAGCTCATAATGCTGTACTTTGAAACTGTGTCAGGTGATATTCAGTTACATGTACCACATAAACTTAGATTTAAAGGGGCTTAGACACAAATTTGAAGTATTTTCTCAAATTTTCTGTATAATATCATGACTTATATGTTGCTATAGCATTTCACACACGGAAATATAATGAAACACAATTTATCTAGAAATAATTGAAATACGAATTTTAGGACGCGTTTGATTGGCACATCCTTGCACTTTCACAAAGTAAACTCTATCTTTAATACTTAAGAAAAGTAGAAATTTTTTGGTTTATTAATGAAAAATATTTAAAATATAATCCAGCATATTCAGAGTAGATGTATAAGAAAGCAAAACCAACTCACCAGTATTGTCCGTCTGTGCTCAGTGATGTGTGCAGAGTTTAACGAATTGAACACATCCTTGAAACGTAAACTGTTTTGTAAACAGGGCACGAGCTCTTTCATTGTCAATGTTTACGTTTCACGGGGTGTGTTCAATTTTTAAAACTCTGCGCACATCACTGAGCACGGACTGACAGTACTGGTGAGTTGGCTTTGCTTTCTCACATGTCTACTCTGAATTTGCTGGATTATACTTTAAATATTTTTCATTAATACACAACAAAATTTCTACTTTTCTTAAGTATTAAGGATAAAGTTTACTTTGTGAAAGTGCAAGGATGTGCCAATCAAACGCGTCCAGAAATTCGCAGTTTCAAAAATTTGAGAGAATATTAACTTCAAATCCTTGTCTAAGCCCCTTTAAATAGATTTAAATACTATGAAAATACATTGAGATTGGTAATCCACAATGCATAGATGTAGACTGACAATTGCTGTAAAGACAGACTGAAATCTCATTTGGAGGATTGTTGGAAACACGTATTAATAAAATGATTAATAGTTCTTTCTAATATTTTCAATTATTCGTTTAAGGATTAGGGAACCATATTTTCTTTGATTATCAGATTCTATCGCAGTCTTGTACTATCCATGGATGCCATTTTTTCTTTGCAGGCAAATGCATAAACTATCATGCTAATAGTAAATAAAAAGTTGACCACTTTTAGATTTATTTACATCTTTAATGAACCTACAAAGCAGCCGACAGAGGCGTTCCTTGAAACACTCTAGTTATAAAAATTGTTTCAATTTACAACTGTGTTAAATGAACAATCTGTATGAATTTAACATTCAACAGAAGGATGTGACCCTGGAAGCTGGTCTCCAGACGGCACTCCAGTTTGTTCTTTATGTACGGTGGGAACCTACAGCGAGATGTATGGCCAAGATCAATGTATAATGTGTCCAAATTCGCAGACTACCCAACACGAGGGCTCAAAAACCTTGAACAATTGTAAAGGTAATACTAATGCTTAATGGCATCTATTACATTGTAACAACCTTTTAAATTTAATGTTCCGTACAATTATACCACTTTTCACTGTTTACAGATTTCGACATTGTCTTGTTGCATAATACAAGCAAAATAGATAAAGAATTTGTTGTTTCCGAAACGGTAGGGGAATTTATTCTGAAAATGTGGATAAATGTTGTCGGTGAGGAAGGTCTAATGTTAACTCTGGAGAGTCAAAACTTGTCAATCAACTTTAAAATGATAGTGGGTCAGAGCTTTGCGTCAGGGTAAGACATCTTTATTACAATAATTTTCTATGCTGTAGACCGCAAGTCAATGCATCAAAAGTAAATACAAGAAATGATACATTATCTTATTACAGATTACCAAATGATTCTACCATCTACCTGGAAAATAAATGGCATTCTTTGATTTTTCACAAAACCGCTGAAAATTCGGTACACATTTATCAAGACGGATTCTTTCGTTTAAAGCTGGAGTCAACCTTTGTCCTTTTAAAAGGAGTGAATATCATTCATGTAGAAGGTATGGTTTAAAACTAAATGCGAGGTTTTTGAATCCTTTCTTTAAATATTTGTAATGATATGGTTTGTGCACTTAATTTCATTTTTTTTTAATTCGTAGGTAAAAGTGAAATTTCACAGCTACATATTTGGACTGCAAACAGAGAAGTACTGTCTCAATTGTATGAAAGTGGGAAGTCTTGCTTTTGTAACGATAACGGCGATGTGTTAAATTGGAAGCAATTTGAAGAATTACATTTTGAAGACTCGTATAAGCAAATTCCTAGTGAATGTGATGGTAAAGTGACCTTTATAAAAATTTGGTAAAATGCACAATGAATGTATATCCGTATCACGTATTATCATAATTATTATCTTACTTCTCAATGCTTAATTTCAGAAGTTGATTCGTACACATCAAACATGCATTGAAGCATCCATAATATAAACAATTGGTAGTTGATATTGAAAAAAAGTTTTTGAACTATTTTTTCGGGAAAATGGCAATCAGTTGTGTTTCACTTAAACAATGCCAAAGGGCTTTTCTGATCACAAAGTGTCCTGTGTTGGGTTTTCTGTCTACCCGTTTGGCTGTGTTCTGATGTCTGTAAAATTTTCTGTTTTTTTTTTTTTAATTTCTTCCTCAGAATAACTGTGGCAATTTCTGCCAAACTTGTAACAAAACATCCATTGGTGAAAGGGATTCCACTTGGATTTTAAATTAAGAGCCATGTTCCTCTTAGAACATGATGGTGTGATTTAAAATTCCTCTTCTAAAGAACCACTTGATCAGCAAAGCCCAAACATTTGTGAACGCTCTCTGACGCAGTCTAATTTCAAGTTGTTTTTTTTAGTATTCTGGCTTATTTGGTACCATAACATAAATTAACATAAAAGTAGAAATGGAAACTATTTATTATCAAGTACAGCAGGATTACAATAAGTTATATTAATAGGCAAGCATCCAAATTTAATGTTGTTTCACATTTGATATCATGGCCCCAGGAGTTACGGCAGGGCCACAATGGGGAAATCAGACATTTTGGAAAAAATATCTTTTTAAGCATCTCCAGATAATGTACGTTGAATACTGTAAACTAAATACCTGGAGTGGTATTCGGTGGGGGCAACAACAGGGAATTACAGTTTGAATTCGAGTATATATAGTATTTTTTAAGATCTTCTCATTCAGTCCATACCTCTTGGGAATATGGTGGCACCACAGCAAAGATCAAAGTTAAAAATTGGAATGATTAGCAAAACTCTGAAAAATTTCTCAGTGCCAATAGGGCCATAATATTTATTTTATTACCATGCAAGCATTTTACACGAGTGCAAATTCAAATTTATTAAGTCATCGTCCCCAGGGCAGGGTGAGGTTTAAAAATAGTCTAAATGTGGAAGCATCCCAACGTAGAGATTTCAAAGATCTATTCAAATTATGATCGATGGGATTAAATTAGAATTCAAAGGTTTACAAGGAAGATATTTGAAATGAAAGAACAGAGAGAAAAATGTGGACCCTTAAATGAGGGATTAAGTTTAGCATAATTTCAGCTCCAGATCTAGAAGAGCAGGGCTATCGTTGTCAAATTGATATATACTGCATTTACGTTCGGTTATATAATTACCTTTAATGATAGAGCGAGGCCACAATATGGGGTTAAAAATCTACCTGAGAATATAGAGAATAAACTGTTCCAAGGTAGTATTCAAAATCGTATAAAAATCATGATGCAAACAAATTTTTCTGTATACATGTAACAACATTTCTAAGGTGCATTCTGTGATCTTTGTGGCCCATAGACCTCTAATTTTTATTTGTTTTTCCAGATTTTGACGATTGTCAGTCGTATCCTTGTATTCATGGTAAATGCAAAGATTTGTTGAATAATTTTGAATGTATTTGTACCCGTGGATTCACTGGAAGCAAATGTGAAATTAATATGGATGACTGTCAAATGAGTGTCTGTGAAAATAACTCAACTTGCATTGACGGAATCGGTAACTACACCTGTGGCTGTCCAAAAGGCTATAGGGGCACATTCTGCGAAGTTCAAGTTGGTGAGTAAATTTTGCAGATGCATTTTTGAAGAAAATGTTCTGTACATATAATAAGAAATGTTATTTTTTTAAAATGATCAATAATTGAAGTCGATGGTTCATGGAGAAGCTGGGGTGAATGGTCGTCCTGTTCAGTGACTTGTGGAAACGGGACACAACATAGATCGAGAGTCTGCAATGACCCAGCTCCAAATAACGGGGGACTAGATTGCCTTGGTAGCAACACAGAGAGACAGACTTGCAATAACACAACATGTCCAGGTACTTTTGTAACATATTGCGACCTGCTTACTTGGTATAAAACAATGAAATAAGTACTATACTACATAGATTTAATTCAGTTTGCAGCCAGTTGATGGTATCAGAACATGCTCTGTTAGACTGTGTCAACGATACAAAGAACTTGAATTGTACAATTGAGTGTGAAAATGGCTACGATTTTGATCACGAAACAAAACCTTTTTACCTATGTGGTGAGGATACTTTCTACATGTGGGATTTTCAAACCGAAGATAATCCTGATGGAAAGACTCCTGTCTGTTCTGGTAATTGAATAAATCCCATGGTTACATGTAAAAAGACGAATATATTGTAAGCTTTTTGAGCATTTACATGTATTTATTAATGACCAGCTATGTGTATACTCCGTTATTCAGATGAATATTTATTTTATTTTCAATTTTCTATTATAAAACATGTATCAGTCATTTTATTTTTCATGCAGAAATCCTTGAGAGTTCCCAGCTCAGTGTTTCATATTCCGCTTTCTATAAAAATCTTGTGTGTGACGAAACCTTCAAGAAAGCACAGGAAAAAGTAAAATATGCAATAGATAATGGTCTGAAACAGCTAGAATGTTTTCAAAATAGCATATGTTCTAAGGAAAATGTAAATATCACTCCATGTAAACATCGAAACAAGAGGTCGACAGGTGTGGAAAATGTAGGGTTCATGGTAAAAATGAACTGTGATCCTACAAAATGTAAGTTATTTTTCCATTTAACATACACATCATGCACATCGTCTATTATTTAATATATATATATATATATATATATATATATATATATATATATATATATATATATATATATATATATATATATATATATATATATGTATATTTCTTTTTGTAAATTCTTCTTTTTTAAAGATGACTCGGACACGTGTTATGCTAACCTTGTTAATTCTGTGAACAACTTACATGCCTTGGCCATTAATCATTCCATGGATATTGAGGTCTATGGCGAGCAATTTGAAATAGACGTTGAAAAGGCTAACGCACAAAGCGAAGTCAATTGCCCCGAGGGAACTGCAGTCGTCAAATACTATTGTGGTATTTTGGTATTTTAAATATGAAGTTTAATGATCTCTTTAAATCTTGAAATACTAAAATAACTATACACTTGGATTTCATTTTATTTTCATCAGATCGTTTACAAATAGAAATTTATTTTGGATAAAAAAAATTGGAACAGAAATAGAACAATAAAAAATATTGAACTATCAAATGCATACAAAGTAAAAATGATCAAATCTGGACATCAGTGGTTACATAGAAATTGGCCAAACTAGACAAAATTCCGGATTAGACAATATTCTAACCAATAAAATTTATTTAAAGGGACCTAATTTTTTTTTTAATTTTTAAAAACAAGATTTCGGATTTTACACAATCTGGATTAAACAAGTTGAATTTTATTTCCTTTTCCAGTTAAATGTTCTCCAGGGAGATTCTATAAAGACGGCACGTGTGAGAAGTGTGACTATGGTAGTTACCAGGAGAAAGAAGGACAACTGTCGTGTACACAATGTCCACTAGGGCTGACAACTCCTGGAAGAGGATCACGGCACCAACAAGAATGTTCTGTGAAGAAAGTCACTAAAGTCGAAAAAGAATCATCACACTGTATGTGTTGTTATAAAATGTTGGTTTCCTCCTTCATAAACAGGATAACTATGACAACTGAATAAAAGTTATATAATATTTAAATTTTTTATTCAAGAAATTCTTCTTCTTTTTTTCTGTTCCAGATCTATTCATGATAGTTGGAGGGGGTATTGCTGGCTTTCTGTCCTTGCTCTTTATTGCAACAATAATCATAATTAATTGTAAAAGAAGGTAAACTTTAAATAATTACAAATAAATTTATGATGTTAAAATAGAAATATGTTTTATAACTCAGATATACGTAAATCTCTGTAAACTGTTTACATGCTATCAAGAAGTATTTCTTCATTGTAGAAAAAGAAAGGAAACCATCTCCTTGCAGAAAACAAATCCAAAGGAAAAACGTACCTCTTAAAGTTAGTCGAATATTAACTTTAAACAATTCTAAAAGTTATATGTAGACAAAAGTTTCATTTTATATCTTTAAAAGAAATATCAGCACGTGAGAGACAGACTTTGTTGCTTGTATATAGAATTTTGATTTTATTGCCAGTATTTTGTGAAAAAGTCAATATTTGTGTAAATGCCTTCAATTTCTTTTCAGACAACACTTTCAAAAGCAGGGGAAAAAAAAGAAAAAGAAAAACAAGCATATCTGGAAATGACGAACTAAATATTATTACCGTAACGTAACTTTGAATTACAAAGCTTATATGAATTTCTTTTATTTATGTCAGTTTTGAGTTCATGAACTTACTGGGTAAATGATAAAAGAATAACATGTAAATCCTAACCTTTTCAGGAAATTCTTGAATCAACGACGATATAATACATAATCATTGAGAGAAAAGCTCGAATTATTACCATAATTAGATAATCTATTTTAGACCAACTTCAAAAACTTTCACCCTTAGTATAATTACTGTTTTAATTTTTTTCCCTGTTTGAAAACAGAAGGTTAAGGTAAATTAAATCAATAAAAGCTTCTTCTCTTGTCGAAAAACACCATTTTACTTGTACCAGTCTTGTACTAACTTTCTTCTCTAAAACACCATATCTTTAATTTTACCACGAATACGCTTGTCATATATATTTACCGATATATCATAATTATATAGACTAATACAGCACCTGCAGTAGTCTCGCTTTCGACAGACTACTCGAGACATTGACATTGTCTAACAAACCAGCTTGAGAATTAAACTTGCGAGTTATCATTAGGATATATTCGATTGTATACAAGGGTAAGGTTTATACATACTTCGTATGTCAAGTTTTCTTCTCATTGCCATTGGCCAGAAACTGACATTTGTAGCGTAGCGCAAGACAACATCCCTTGTGGTGTGTAAATTCTAAAACACAATATGATTTTTCTAGCATTGGTCTTCCCTATCTTCAAAGAATCGAAATCGTTATGATTATAATTATTCTGATTCTACACACAAGCATTCCGAGGTTGATACATGTATAAGATGCTCTAGTTTCTCATTGACAGTATCTATGCAGTTTTTGGAGACCAGAACCATGCAACATCTTAAGCTTAAGTCAAAATCTTTATGATGTACTAAAATGTTGTAGATGTCAAGCAGACCAAAATTAACATATTTATCAATATTGATTTACAAAAGTGTTTTATAGAAATTGCGTCTTATCTTAAGACTTGCTATCTTCAGAGCATCTATGAAACAAACGATATGCAATGAGATAATATCTCATTCAATTTGTAAGAATAATGCCACATGATTCCAAAGTCTCAGTTTGTGATAAGAGTTTCAGGTGGTCATACTGTAGCCTGATACTGAAAAGGTAATTAAAGAGAGCAACGAAGATATACATTGTATATAGAATTAAAAGGACTACCACAAGCATTGGGTTAGCCATGTTTATACTGCCAATTCATCTCAGTTTCATTATTTTTTCGCATATTAAACGAGTTTCACAAAATGTGCTCTCTTCCATTGTTATTGTCTTTTGTTCATTCACGGACTCTCTGATAAACAAGGCGTTTGTTCTCATTGTATTAATATTTTTCTTACCTACATCTCTAAGGGGTGATATATTTTAACAATGCTAATTACCATCCGCACAAGATTCATGATGAGGATAATTGATACACGAACAAATTCTTTGTTCCTATAGCAGATATAACTGGCTCTTTTTGTCCTGTTATTTTGCTTGACGTCCAAGGCACTTCGACTTTTTCACTGAGGTAGGAATGTCACGATGATATTAGTCTGAACATTTGTTTGTGTCTAGAAAAACCGCAAAGCGTTTGGGAAAGTTTGAACAGGCGCAAAGAGACGATATACATGTAGTACGGAATACCTGTTGCTGAATTACACAAATAATTCTGAGAGAGGAGAGACACATTCAATGCCGATTCGCGGTCTTGGTGTCCCCAAACCGAAAAGTAACATTGCTCGCGTGCGGTAGAGATTAAAGGTGCATAGACACAGATTTGACGTTTATATTTTCTCAAATTTTCTGTATAATATCACAACTTATATGTTGCTATAGCATTTCACACGAAAATAAAATTAAAAACTTATTTAATCTGGAAATTATTGAAACTACGAATTTCGGGAGGCGTTTGATTAACACAGTAGCAAATTTTGTTGTGTATTAATGAAAAATATTACATCTATAATCCAGAAAATTCAGAGTAAAAAGGTGCAAAAGCAAAACTTACTCACTTAAGTATTATCAGTCCGTGCTCAGTGTTGTGTAGTTGTGTATAGAGTTTAACAAATTGAATACACCCGTGAAAGGTAAACTGTTTTTGTAAACAGGGCACGAGCTCTGTTGTTGTTAATGTTTACGATTCACCGGGTGTGTTCAATTGTTAAACTCTGCACACACCACTGAGCACGGACTGACAATACTCGTGAGAGGATTGTGCTTTCTACATTTCTACTCTGAAATTTCTGCATTATAGTTTTAGTATTTTTCATTAATTAAAACAACAAAATTGCTACTTTTCTAAAGTAATAAGGATAAAGTTAAAATTTGTGAAAGTGCAAGGATGTGTCTATCAAACGCGTCCAGAAATTCAAAGTTTCAATAACTTTCAGATAAAATAAGATTTTTATCAAATTTTCGTATGAAATGCTATAGCAACATATAAGTCATGAAATTATACAGAAAATTTGAGTAAATATTAACTTCAAATCTGTGTCCAAGCACCTTTAAATTCCTATAGGAGAATATTTAGCTGCCAAAGTCAAATTAGAATGTATAGATCCATTTAAAATATTGTGTTCTGAAATCAGCTTGTTCATAAAATTTTAAAGTCATATCATATATACAAGATGTGTTTCAGTCAGCGATCAATGTAAAGATGTGTTTCAGTCAGCGATCAAACTAGAATCGTTACCGAACGTCATAAAAAATCACCGCTTACTGTGCCGGGTGCATATATTATCTTTTGTACTTCAACTGGCAATAATCAACGTATCAAGTTAAAACTACCAAGACTTCCGAGACTTTCGTTGTTTTATGAATCTTACAATTTTTGGGATCACAGTCTACATAGTATGAATTGTATCGCTTCAGTCTACGAACTTTTTGATATTTCCTCGTAAATACATGTAAATGTTTTTTCCCAATTCTGTTAATTGCAAATATTTACATTTGCAAAATGTTTTCCCTTAATAACACTATTTGAACAAGTCGTTTTTACACATCTGTAAAAACAGGTTCGTCATGCGACCATAAATTGATTGTTTTGTCATAAACGATCTATGTAATTTCATAGTGACGTCATAAGTGATCAACGCGCTCAACACATTCAATTTATACCGTTGAAGTTTGAAAAAAATAAATCAATTTATGGGGTTAAAACTATAGGACCCAACTATTTGTAATAAATCAGTCACAAATGTAAATATAAGTAATAAGGTATCATTTTAAAACTTTTATTGGATGTTATTTCTTAAAGATTGTACACATTGCTTCAAGGATCTGAAATTTATTGTAGAGTATTCTGGGAGTCAATCACACTGTGTTTTATATCATTAAATGAGTTTGAATACAGTATAAATTTTACCTAAAATAATAAATTAGGTGAGTACAACATTAAAAATGGCAAACAGAAACAAAGGAAAGAAGAATTCTGTTGGTCTTGCAGATGATGTATCAGTTTTTATTATCATTTGTGCGATATTACTCCAAGTACCATTGTTTTCCTTTGGTTTTATTCCAAGAATATCACACATTATCTGATACAGTTCCACATTAGCTATTGGCTTGCTCACAAAATTCTTCCTGAATGCTGAATGAGAATAAAACAAAATCATACTTAGTCTACAATGTAATAAATGATCAAAATGTTTCAAAACAGGAGTGTACACTGGTACAAAATGTTAGGAAAGCTTTTTTGTCTGAAAATAAAAATAAAAAACGTGTTGGTTTTTCACTAAACTTACCCGGCCCTGTTGCTCGAAATATTGCTCTCATATTTGGATCAGTATTGTCATATCCGTGCATCCCTTTGGATGTTGTTCCAGGTTTAAAATAACCCTTGTTTAACGATAGAAATTCAATTTTCACTATCTTGGTGTATTAAAAGGAGAAAAAAATGCAAAACAAAGACACGTCTTTCCATTATTATTCTTGAAGCTATATAACCAGAAACCCTACTGGCATGGCCATGTATTGTAACGTCTACAAGAAATTATAAGATTTTACATATATAAAGTATTTGTGCTTTTTTGTCCTAGTTTTATTCCTGAAAAGTGACAATGTTTCTTTCTTTACAACTTACCAAAAAACTTGATAAAAAGGCTGTAATATTTGTTGTTATCCTAATAAAGTATAGTAATATATTTGTATGAAATCGAAATGCGATTTACAGATGTTCATGTAACTTGTTCATTAAAAGTAACTGAAAACTGTAAAACGATTAAATAAATATTAAATATCTTTTTCTTTGTTTGTTTGTTTTTGTTGTTGTTGTTGTTGTTTTGATTGTTTTTTTTTTCTTGTGATCGTCTTCAACCGGTTGACTTCTGATTCCATCCAAAGCATCCGATAAAGGTAACCATTTTTAGTACATGTCGCGAGGTACTACTTTGCTTTGAATTTGCATCTTTCAAGAACTTTTCATGTTATAATCTTTTCTTCATTAGAGATTAAAGATGTTAGGCATATCGCTCTATAATTTAAATCACTGTAATTAAGTAAAATAAAAACGAAACTTTGGTAATTGTGAAAGAATTTAGCAGTATATCTTTATCA